AAACATGACAGGAGATTGTACTAGCTGCTAACCATGAGTTGTGATTTTATAGGTTACCAACCATGACAGGTGATTGTATAGGCTACTAACCATGACAGGTGATTGTATAGACTACCAACCATGAAAAGTGATTGTATAGGCTGCCAACCATGACAGGTGATTGTATAGGCTACCAACCATGACAGGTGATTGTATAGGCTACCAACCATGACAGGTGATTGTATAGGCTACCAACCATGACAGATGATGGTATAGGCTACCAACCATGAAAAGTGATTGTATAGGCTGCCAACCATGACAGGTGATTGTATAGGCTACCAACCATGACAAGTGATTGTGTAGGCTGCCAACCATGACAGGTGATTGTATAGGCTACCAACCATGACAGGTGATTGTATAGGCTACCAACCATGACAGGTGATGGTATACACTACGAACCATGAGTTGTGATTGTATAGGCTACCAACCATGACAGGTGATTGTATAGGCTACCAACCATGACAGGTGATTGTATAGGCTGCCAACCATGACAGGTGATTGTATAGGCTACCAACCATGAAAAGTGATTGTATTGGCTACCAACCATGACAGATGATGGTATAGGCTACCAACCACGACAGATGATGGTATAGGCTACCAACCATGACAGGTGATGGTATAGGCTAGCAATCACAACAGGTGCTAATATAAGGAACCAACCATGACAGGTGATTGTATAGGCTACTAATTATGAAAAGTGATTGTATAGGCTACCAACCATGACAGGTGATTGTACTGGCTACTAACCATGACAAGTTATTGTATAGGCTACTAATTATGACAGGTGATTGTATAGGCTACCAACCATGACAGATGATGGTATACACTACGAACCATGAGTTGTGATGATATGAGGTACCAACCATGACAGGTGATCATATAGGCTGCCATCAATGACAATGAGAATTTAAGTAGAATTCATATTTTCTAGAAATGAGATAAATACATTAATATTTTTAACAGATGATTCAGGCAGCATTTGTGATGAACAAACTGAGGTGAAATTGGCAGCAACTGCCTAGTACAACATTACACTTGTGGAGAAATTCTTGGAGGACTAACCTACAAAAGAAGCAGGTAGAAATGGTGATGTTTCTGTCTTTCATCTTTGGATCTAATGACAAGAGACAGGAGTCTTTCGAAACATCTTTCTTTCCAAAAGTGTCACACTGTCGTAGGTAGTTGCTGCCAATTTCATCTTAGTTTGTTCAAATACATGAATTATTGATACCAAACTTGTCAAATTCCTTGCATACAAGTAACGGCTGATACTGATAATTTAGAGTTTTGGGTTTGTTTTGATATATATTTTTCATGTAGCAAATTCACTATAAACAATGTTAGTACCTAAACTGTTTTTAACTGTCACTCACTCTGTACAAAATGTTGCTGTGTTTTTATGTTAATGTTTTCATTTTAGTATTGTGTAGCAGTCAACAATATTATGTTCGATTTTTGATTGGCAAAAAGCTTGATTTGTAGTTTAGATATTTAGTAGAAACTTAAAATTCTTAAAATGCCAAAAAGCTACAGTTTTTCTTTCTCTTTTCCACAAAGTAAGTACACATATTTTTGTATTGTAATACTTATTTTCAGTCTTAAACTGATAGAGTATACGATGTTGACTAAATTATTGTTGCATATAAGTAATCATTGTTGAAACATATAGTCTGAGTAGTTACAATATATATGTATACTTTTCTAACATGTTATAAACAATTGTTATTTTAAATTATTTTCAACTCAGTTGTTGTACCCTATGAGGTTGTTGTTCAACAACTGGCAACAGACACAGTGAGTTCTGGAACTTCTATAGGTATTGGAGGTGGTCTTTTCTCCTGTGGAAGCTATGCACAGATAGCACTTGTATGTTTGATGGTAAGCCGCATTTTCCATAAGTTTTGTTTAGGCTCAACACAAAGTCTGTACTTGATTATTAGTTGACATCATTTAATCCTTGCATGGCTTGAGACTTATAATTTGGGTGACCATTTGTAATTTAGTCTGTGTATGACTTTAAGTGCAGAAAATCAGGTTTTATCAGTTCTACACCATCTTTGTGTATACTAATGATTCTAGTTATCTAAATAATATTCTTTAAATATTTTTTCTGTGTTTTCTGTGATAAATTCTTTTTATTTAGACAATGTTTATATTCTGAGTATTATTATTATGGTTACATGGTGGTTACAAGTTCATGTAAAACACACAAGCCTGTTGCAATAGGGTTAAACATAGACTGAAATATAAAAGTATATATGTACTATATCTTTGAAAGTAGTTATTGTATCTTCACAGAATTTGACGAGCTTTCAGTAAACTTTAATAATCTTTTTTAAACAAAAATTCTGAATTTTTTATTAAGTATTTTAACTAAAATTTTCTGTTTAATTATATGGTGTCAGAGTGTTGACTGCTCTGAGTGCAAAGTGATTTTCATATTAACACATTCACTGACATGTGCCCCACTTGTGGGTCATGACATGACTTTTAACTATGGATTACATGACACACTGGTGGGTCACAGACAATTATGTTTCAAAGCTAACTTTCTATTGAGACATATGAATTTGGGACTCTGTGACTGCTCCTTGGCACCCCTTGAATGTTTAATTTTATTTATACTTAAGAATACTTTCTGAAAATTTTCATTTTGTTTGCATAAACCCTAAAATCTCCTAAAAAAGATATCAAATATTTTTTTTTGAAAAATTGTATATCTTATCTGTTATTTTCCCCACCTTAACTCTATATGAGGTTGGTCAATTTGACCGACCTCGTAATCATCCCCAAAAAATCAAAATAAGTTAAATTATCTTTTTTTTTTCCTTTCTAGAATTATTTCAATTGTAACATGAAACTTGATTTGTTTATCCTAAACAGCTTAAATATCATAACAGTATACATGTGTTTATACTTTAATTTTATTGTTTTATTACCCTTTGAATCACGTGTAAACTAATATTCCTGCCATAAAATTTGAAATTACTTGGTGAACTTGCAGCTCACATTACCCTATTGAATTACATCACACACTGGCTGCCTCATGAAAAATTTTATTATTCTTTATTTTACATAATATAACCTAAAAGATCATTTGATAGGTGAAAACCTTGGCTTTCTATTGGTTATAAATATTATAGTATTAAATGTAATAGAGAACTATCTACAAATACTGAAAGAGAAGATGTGACAGGTGGTTGTGGCAAGAAGGATGTGATTTTCTGTTTGATGACTCTTTAACCAAAAACGATAGAAGGTTTTGAAAATTATGCTTTGTCTGAGTGATGATATTATAATGAGTAATTTACTTCAAATTTCATATTTCTTGGATGATGGTAAATAAACTAGTGAAGAGGGAATGCCTAGAGAAAGAATGTCACATTTCTTACACTATGGGAAATTCAGGATTTTTTTTAAATATTGCTTTATAAAATTAAAATTTAAATAATATTAAAATGTGGTTTATTAACTACACTTTGATGCCAGGCTTATTTGTATATATTGATAATAAAGTAGTTTAATTAATTTTTGAATGTAACTCTGTGAAAGGTTGTGACATGTGCACTTTGACCTACTCGATGCAAAAGGGTTAATATCCTTTTTAATACTTGTTGTTTTTAAGTATAGATACTTCTTTTTTTTACATTTTAATTTTTAATTATGAGGGATTGTTCCTATGGTCTTCTGATTTGAATTAATTTTGATTTCTTTGTGAGAATATTTTGAATGCATATGGCGAGAAAAGTTTGTTACTTCTGTTCGTTGAGTAGTTTTATGTGTTCCATGGTGAGTTGAATTAAAAACTTGTAGTTAAGACATTTACTATGTTGGTTTACGTCATCTTACCTTTCTGTATGTAGTAACTTTGTTTGTGTAAGTTGGGATACTTTGTATCATTTAATTAGTAGAATATTAAAAATCAGTTAATCATCAAGCCCCATATTGTACCGATATTCGATGGCTCCTTGTGTGATATATATACATTTGGCTCCCTCCAATCACCATTGGTTAGGTATCTTAGTCAGTTGAGTTTCCACCTCATGCAAATTCACTTCTCACACTACCCACGGTATGGCTCTGATCAGATTAATCAATTATAAGTCTGTGGCAGGGAATTAAATAAATATCACATTAATGTTAAAAGTGATGGGAAAGGTAAACCTGGAGCACTTCCATAGATGTTTCAGGCATGTAAATGTTGTTGTATAGATAATGCAGTGCTTGATATGATTGAGCTAGTGAATGAGGAGCAACACAGTGATTTGGATGTAGTTCTAACTAAGTTATTCCATTGTTCAACCCAGGAGAGATGTGGACTTAAGTGGGTAAAACCATCATTTAGATGTATGCATCAGGCCATACAAGTAAAACCATCACCTGGATGTAAATGCTAGGCCATGCAGGTAAAACCATCACCTGGATGAATGTGCCAGGCCATGCAGGAGTATAGCCATCATGTAGATGTATGTGCCAAGTCATGCAGGGGGTAAAGCTGTCAATTGGATGTACGTGCTAGGTCATTTTGGGAAAGCCATCACCTGCATGTATATGCCATGCCATTCAGGAGTAAAGCCATCATTTGGATGAATGTGTCAGGCCATGCAGGGGAAAAGCCATCACCTGACCTGATGAATGTGTTAAGCCATGCAGGAGTAAAGCCATCATTTGGATGTATGTGCCAGGCCATGTAGGGGTAAAGCCATCATTTGGATGTATGTGTGAGGCCATGCAGGAGTAAAGCCATCATTTGGATGTATGTGTGAGGCCATGCAGGAGTAAAGCCATCATTTGGATGTATGTGCCAGGCCATGTAGGGGTAAAGCCATCATGTGGATGTATGTGCTAGTTCATGCAGGGTAAAGCCATCACCTGGATGTATGTGCTAAGCCATCACCTGGATGAATTTGTCAGGCCATATAGGGGTAAAGCTATTTAAGAAAGCTTACAAGAGATACCCATTTATCAAGTATAGTGCATACTCTACTGACTGGATGTGAACCTCCTTTGCACTAGTAGTTTAAAATATGGAAACCATG